TTGCTTACACTGGTCATTGGTACTGGCTCTTCCATCACCCCTGTCCTTCTTTTCTGATCTTCTGTCCTGTCGCTCTACCTTCTGGCAGGCAGCCTGGCGATTCTGTATTCTCTCTCTCTCACTCTCACTCTCTCACTCACTCACTCAAGCTTTAATAGCATGAATGTGTAACACAATGTTACATGTTAGCATGACTGTGTTACACAATACATTAACATGTGTAAATAATATTAATAAAAAAACATAACCGATAAGTAAAATCCATCTAAATAAATGAAAAGATAAAGCGAGTCAGTTTAGAGTTAACCATGCTTAACACCTAACATTGTGAATGGCTAACACAAATTTTGCAGCAAGTGCAGCTCTCTCTCTCTCTCTCTCTCTCTCTCTCTCTCTCTCTAAATTGTGATAATCATAATGATCGTAAATTAATAATTGCAATTACAATTTCAAGGGAATAATCGACAATTATGATATTTGTCATAATCGTGCAGCCCTAACTCTCCCTCATGTCGTTCCAAACCCGTAAGACCTTCGTTCATGGATATTTGCCCCCTGTATATTATGTCTTTATTAATCAAACAACAATATTGTTAATAACAGAAACAACTCCATTTTAAGGCATGAATTTAGAGAAGTTGTCCTGGGCAAGTTCAAACTCTTTCCAAGAAGTTTCACCTCTAAAATCATCCCCTTTGAAGCATCACCAGCCATTAAAGTGCCACTTCTGTAATAAATTTACTGCCTTCGGTATGTTTCAAGCTTATTACTGTCAGACTTCAAATTGTCTGCTGTGAGTAATGTTCCCATTATTATGTGTAATCCATTTTTGTGATAGTTTTGAACAATAAAGGCTATGGATTTAACGGAGTTATTTGTCAGTCATCCCTCTGAAGGGCTATGTTTATATACCGCTAAGAAATGCATCAGCTTAATTATACAGGGCTTCATAAAGGCGTCTTTCACAACCCATTTTACTTCCAAAATCTGACACATTTCCAGGTGAAATGGGTTATTCAGCTGTCTATCTATTTTGAGTTGGTTGGATTATGAAAAGTGTCTTGCATAACACATTTGAGTATGGAGTTTAGTGGGAGAGGTTGTGAAGTAACAAGGATTTGTGTGGTTTTGGAGTAGAGCGTATTCTGAGACAGTAACTGAGGGGAAGGTATGAGGCAGGGAGGCATGGCTGAGCGGGATTGTGGTGGAAAGATGAAGCTGTCACGTCTGTCCTTTGGCTGTGTGGTTTTACTGGGGTGTCCTCGCCCTCCTCTGGGCTGTTTTACAATGTTGTATCTCTCTCTCCAAACTTATCCTTTGCTTTTCTCCTCCTCCTCTCTCTTTCCACACTTCTCCATTTTAAAGACAGGATGATCTGCCCGTTTAGTTGGCTGCTGTGTTGCGAACTTGTGGCAATTCCACAAGTCACATCATAGACATACTGTCTCCCACTGCGCCTGTAATCGTAAACTGATTTATAAACTAGTTACTCAAGAGCAGTTGTGTGGAGTCACAAAGTTTTATTTTATTTGCATTTTTAAATTTACTTATTCTAGTTTATAGTTAAGTGTGGGTATTGTTATTCTTCTCATTAACATTAACATCATGCCATTTGAAAGTGAAAGTGACGTTCTACAATTCCTGCTGGACCTGAGACTCGAACTCGCAACCTTTGGGTTCCGAGTCCAACTCTCTAACCATTAGGCCACGACTTATTATTTTTTAAATATTTTTTTCAACAAAGATGCATTGTATTACACTAAAAAGACATTTTATAGATTTCTATATAAAAGTATATTTTTTTCAAATAAATTTTCCATTCATCAAAATCCTGAAATGAATGTATCAGTAATAATAAGCAGCACAACTGTTTTTAACACATTCATGTTTTTACAAGAGCATATTTATTATTAGCTCAAGAGCTCCGAGTTCATCTACAGGAACAACATCATGCGAAAGCTAGTTCCGAGTTAAAGTTACCGCCATGCGTGAGTAGAGCGTCCTCTCTGCCTCCACCTCCTTCTTCCATGGTACTGACTGCTCAATCCCAGTTAGCTCCTGATTTGAATGTATCACAAGTGAATCAAGTCCCTGCTGATGGGAATGTTGTTAGTAAAAGGTAGGCAAGCCGTGAAGAAATATCAAAGAAAGTGTCTGGAGTGTGCTAAATGGAAAGGAAAACCAATAGTTCCTAGGATGGCTGATCTTCCTCCATCTAAACTCAATTTGTTCAAACCTCCCTTCCGGTCCACAGGAATTGATTGTTTTGGGCCATTTGTGATCAAGTCTGGTCGTAGGGACTGACATCCCATTGTGATGCTCCCCCTACGAATAAGCAGTACCCTAAGAGTCTCTTACAATTATATTATAATATTATAAATGACACTATTGTTCAAAAGTTTGGGGTCAACAAGATTTTTATTTTTTTTATTTTTTTTAATAAATGAACTTTTCATTTCAGCAAAAATGCATTAAATTGATCAAAAGTGCCAGTAAAGAAATTTATAATGTTATAAAAGATTTCTATTGGGGAAAAAATGCTGTTCTTAAAAATAAACAAATAAATCACAAAATAAATATATCAATTTCCACCAAAATATTTTAACTGATTTCAACATTTATAATAAGAAATGTTTCTTGAGCACCAAATCAGCATATTGTCATATTATAATAATAATAATAATATTTCACAATATTCCTGTTATACTATATTTTTAATCAAATATATGCTGTCTTGGTGAGTATTAGAGACTTTTATTTATAAAATATGAAACAAAACTTACAGAATATACACACTAATATATATATGTATATGTATATATATATGTATATGTGTGTAAAATAAGTGTTTGTGTAAAGATGTCAAACAAAGTGAGATGATTGCTGTGTCGAGACATGCTTCTCAAAGCTCTACATGTCTGGGCCGTGACCCGACCTCCCACACCTCCTCAGGCTCTCTCTGTCTTCAGACTGCAGAGAACACGAGGTTTGAGTATAACTGTAATTGCCCTGTGATTTAAACCAGTTTGTTCGCATTTTAGGAGTGTAATCTTACAGTTACTTGGAATAAATCTTAACTTTCATTACAGTCGAAAAATGTTTGTGTAGAGCTTTAATGACAGGCCGGGTGAAGCTGCTTCCTGTTTCAGGAAAAGAGGAAGAACATGGTAATGTAAACTAGAGTGTCTGCTATCTACAGGAAGTACGAAAAGGGATTAGTGGAGGGAAACTTCACTCGTTTCACGGAGGTGGGGGATTTTGTTTGAGCTAGTGAAACCAGTTTTTGGGCTTAGTCATTTGAAAAGCAAATGTCTTTGTATTTTCCCACCTTCTCTGACCTTTAATGGCAAACATGATGTAGAAACTTGTTTACCACTGCAGAAGCAACCTAGATACCAAGTAAAAATCCCAGCCGTTCAGAAGCTTGTGCTGTTACCTGCGCTCTGGCCAGTAAATGTGAAGCAGCTCTGTCACTGCTATGAGTTGTGCAGTGAAGCAGGTATCATCAACCTCAGCCATCGGCAGGAAATGATGCCTTTAGAGGCAGTCGGGCATTTTCGTTTTGGTCCTGGAGTGTTTTAAGCGATTCAGAGAGTCATCGGGAAGGTCACCGTGTGAGTTCGGAGGCATGATCGGAACACACATGGATGGGACTGACAGACGCTCAGTGCGATCAATCATGTATAAGCAAACAAACCAAATTAAAATCCGTTTGATAGGGCGAACAGTGACCCTGGAGCACAAGGAATATGTCATTAGAGATAATATCTGCTTCGGATTTTCTCATTGTTTATTCTGCTCACTCCAGATTACATCTTTCTTTATGAGAATGGACAGATGGGGGTCTTGTTTTTTATAGATTGCATTAAATCCATGCTGGTTTGCTTTAAGGCCATATGCTCAACATTTACTTACACTATCAGAAAAAACAAAACAAAACATTAACAATGTAATCAATTACATAATCAATGTAATCAATATTCTGTTTATTAAAGCCAAGTATGAATCTCATCAAGTTAGTGTTAAGCATTTTACATTTATTCCAAAATAATAACTCAAGGCAGTAACAATTTAAACAATATATTTCATTTGTGAACTTATGTTCAACTATTCTTTTTAATAGGTAACTTTTAACTATTTTTGAATTATTCGGTTCATCAGTCGTCAAAGCTCGGTGAATATTGGTCACAGACACAGAGATTTACTTTAAATTTCACCAAGCTGATTACTCACTAAAAACACTTTTTCAGGGTATTTCAAGTCTTTTTTTTTTTTGACGCAAAAAAGTGATTATATATCTAAGTGTGTGAGTTGTTTACTTAATTTTTTTTAATTGGTCTTCCCATTAACGCCATTATATTGTTCATTCGGGCTGATTCGCGAATGCGGAAAGCACACAAACACAAGAAGCGGGATTTATCGCATGAACTAATCACAGCCGAACATAACCAGTCATATCCAATCATATCGTGATGGAGGCATTGCCTCCTCTCATGTAATTTTTCTCCATTCATTCTCAATTACCCCCCCCACCAAACTCGCCGCATGCTTTAGGGGGTCTGTTAAAACTCAGTGGGCTCAGGGGAGGCAAGAGAAACGTGGACTCCCTCTGTAACTTTACCTGCGGGTGTTGCTGTTGGACAGTGTTTCTGTAGAAAAATGAGTGGTTTATAAACTTTTTAATGTTATATTTTATAATATGTGCATCTCTTATCATGTGACACTGAAGACTGGAGTAATGATGCTGAAAATTCAGCTTTGCATCACAGGAATACATTTAAAAAAATACTTTCAAATATGAGACTGTCATATTTGTATTGTATTAAAGTATTGGTTTAATAGGCTTTTATTTGTCTCTGGCTGAAATCAGTCATTATAAAAGAACTCCAGTGTGATGTGTAGGTCTGATCCTGCTTGACTTTTATTGAACCGTAATAAGAGTGTCCGTTAACTTCCTCCCTTAAATAATTCTCTCACTTTTCTTCCTTTCTGCTCCCCAGGCGCTGGCAGCTAATGCAGGTACCGGATTTGCCGTTGCAGAGCCGCAGGTTGCCATGTTTTGCGGCAAGCTCAACATGCACATTAATATCCAGACTGGCCGCTGGGAGCCGGACCCTTCTGGATCCAAAACCTGCGTCGGAACCAAAGAAGGAGTGCTGCAATACTGTCAAGAGGTAAAACAATATTACACAACATAAATCTCCATTAAAATTCATTTCTTGTTCAATTCTTGCAGGGAGTGAGCAATGAGCCATCTGCTTGGGCATCTACTTTTCACAATATAATCAATTGCTGATTAATGACATCCTCCCTTAAATCCTGCTTCACTTGGAAATGCATAGATTGGGTTGTTGGGTTTCACACTGACTTAAAACTAAACTTACTTTTTAATATTTATTACATTATTATAAATGTTATAAATTACACTACTTTTCAAAAGTTTGGGGTCAGTAAGAATTTTATAAAGAAATTAACATTTTTATTCAGTTTATGAGTTTATGTTCAGAGTTTATGAACATTTATAATGTTACAAAAGATTTCTATTTGGAAAAAATGCTGTTCTTTTGAACTATCTATCATCATCATCAAAAAAAAAAAAATCCCAAAATAAATGCATCAGAGTTTCCACCGAAATAAGCAGCACAACTGTTTTCAATATTGATAATGATAAGAAATGTTTACTGAGCAGCAAATTAGCATATTAAGGATGATTTCTGAAGGGTCGCATGTCAATGAAGACTGGAGTAACAATGCAGAAAAGCAGCTTTGCATCACAGGAATATATTACATTTTAAAATACTGTATATAAAAATAGAAAACCGTTGTTTTAAATTGTAATAACATTTCAAAATAGTACTGTTTTTGCAGTGTTTTTGATCAAATAAATGCAGCTGTTGAGCGGTAAACTTAGTATTTACCAAAAAAATTTTTTTTGTTTATTAATGAACTTATTCCATTATTGTGTTTAACTCTCTTTATATACTACTTTGAGACATTGGTGTCTTCTGTAATATTGCTGCTACTGCTGATTTATAAAAGCAATAAGCCTCCCAACACTCTGTACTCTAAAAGGTCATTTCCCAGAACTATATTAAAAAAACACTATTTGGTTAAAAATGTCAAATATTGCTCTCATCTGTCATATGGCTGACTGCGAAAACAGCACTACCGTCCCTGTACATTTTGAGATTGCTTTTCATTGATGTTCTTTTAATGTATTTCAGGAGAGAGTAAATCTTGTGTTAGTTCCAATACGTGAGCAGATGGCGTCTGGAGATTGTGAAGCATGGATCACAGCTTACTGTACAGACTCAATCTCTCCGCTCTCTTCCTTTTAGATGTATCCTGAGCTGCAAATTTCAAATGTGGTGGAAGCCAACCAGCCAGTCAAGATCGAGAACTGGTGCAAGAAGGACAAGAAACAGTGCCAGGGCCACGCTCACATCGTGGTCCCCTACAAGTGCTTGGGTGAGTGGTGTGTGATTGACAGGTCTGTTGTCCTTTTAAACGGCCAATTATCCAGAATGTCCCGTGGGGTTAAAGATGCCATTGTTGAAGTGAGACATCTGAGAAGCCAGAACAGCAGTTCAAAGTGACAGGCGAAGACGTTAAAGATCAGATTCATTCCCTGCACTGGAACTCAGGTAGCTGCTACGGTTCCTCATCTGTGATTGGTTACAGGCTCCAAAATATATTACACAATACAAAATAATGATAAAGCATTAAAGGGGTCATGAACTGCATTTTTTAATTATTTGATCATGTTTCCTGAGGGGCATTTATAATGTTAGTATGATTTTTTTTTTTACATCAAAAATGGTCAGAATTTAGAAATAAAAGGACATTTTATACCCTGATTGTAAAGGGAGCGTTCTTTGATCACTTTCTGTATATAATTTAAGATCAGGCATTAGAATGAACACGGTTACTTGCATGTTGTGGTATTACTGTCGGGTCCATATCTTACAGTAAAAGTCTGTTTGCAAAGTAAACCGCAACTGATTTACCAAAGAATCCACAGTGAAATGTACTGAACAAACAAATAATGCTCTACTTGGACATCCACATAGTTAAAAATAAAGAATCACTTTCCTAGGATTAGGATCCTTTGGAAGGTAATGCGTTTTTTTTTTTTTTTTTAGTCCTGTGAGCCTGAGTTGCTCTTCTCTCCTTCTCATCTCACTAACGCTCCAGTGGGTGGGGCCAAAGAGATGATGATATGGAAGTAGGCGTTGGTCTGATTTTGTAGAGGCAGGCTTTCATTGCACTATGATGTCACAATGTGACAAAATCTGAAACAAGTCATTTTCTGATCTTGGTTTCAATAAAAGCTGTTTTTGGACTAACGAGGACGTTTTGAGCTCTGAAACTCTCAGGATGTTTTAAAGGGGTCCTATTATGCTTTTTCACTTTTTAAAATTTTAGTCAGTGTGTAGTGTGTATGTTTGGGCATAAAAAAGATGTAGAAAGTTACAAATCTCAGAGTCCACTCCAAAGGGATACTGAGTTCTTGTTATATTTTATTACCATTTTCTAAACTATAGCGAGTAAACTGTGATAATGTGAGAAATGTTGAAGGTGTCTGAATAAATTTTGGTTTGACTGTATCTATTTGATAAATAAAGTTAACCAACTAACATTATACATACTCTTTTTGTTTCTGTACGTAATATTTAAAAAATTTACAAATGCAATAAAAATATTGGTATCGGTACTCGATATCGGCAAGTACCAAAAATAAAAGTATCGGTATCGGGCGAGTACTGAAAAAAGTGGTATCGGTGCATCCCTACCCAAAACACAATCACTTTTTTGTAAAAGAGCATAATAGGACCCCTTTAATAGTACAATGACCTCTTACATGTCAAAACATCAAGGACATTTTGATTTCTCAACTCGTGACCCCTTTAAAGTGCTTTGTGACACTACTTGTTGGAAAAAGTAGCTACAGTTAAACTAAGCTTAATTACTGTCACACTTCTTGAAAAAACGGAAAAGTTCAGTTAGTGCTGCTGCTTGTTACTCCTGAGCACTGGTCTTAGGAAGATGGCAATGTAGCGAAAAGCCATTACTGTGTAGAGAACTTTATAGTAATACAGCAAAATCCCATTTCCCCTTCCAGACAGAGGCTGTGAGGCTGGTGGAGATCCATTGGGCTTTGAGTGTGTGTGTTATTGTTGTTTGTCATGCCACAGAGGCGGCTACAATACATTGCCTCTCTTCCAGGAGTTTTTCCAGCAATTGCCAAAGGCAACTTGGTCATTTGGGTGGTTTAAACTGTCAGAGTTTGTAAACTCTCTTTAACAGCCTTTCTCTCTTTCTTCGCTTCTTTTTTTACCTTGCTAACACAGTCTCTGGCTTATTGACTAGATGTTTGCGATGAGATATAGTTAACGGTAAAAACACATCAATGGAGAATCTCTACATAATAAATGATGGCATGTTCAGACAAATACACTACTGTTCAAAAGGGGTCAGTAAGATTTGTAATGTTTTTGAAAGAAGTCTATTATGCTCAACAATTTGATTTAAAATACAGGAACAGTAATATTCCAAAATATTTGAATACAAGTTAAAATCTAATTTATTTCTGTGCAAAGCTGAATTTTCAGCATCATTACACCAGTGTTACATTCAGAAATCATATTATGCTGATTTGCTACTCAAGAAACATTTCTTGTTATTATCAGTGTTGAAAACAGTTGTGTAGCTTAATAGTTTTGTGAAAACTGATACATTATTTTCAGGATTCTTTGATGAATGTAAAGTTCAGTTAGCAGCATTTATTTGAAATAGAAGACTGTTGTAACATTATTAATGTCTTTACTGTCACTTAAGATCAATTTAATGCTTCTTTAATAAATAAAGTAAACATAAATAAAATAAACATACAGTACAGTGGGGTACAAAAGTAAGTCCACACTGAAAACTGAGGTTTAAACAATATAAATATTAAAACCAGGAAGTTTTAAGGAAAAGAGGAATATATATATATAT